AATCGAGTAATAATACGCCAAAATGCCTTACATCATTTTGGAAAAGAGCTGATACTCTTACACTGCTGGACCGATATTAACCAAACATAGCTAAGAACGACCGCAAGGGAACTGGCTTTCAAATGAACTAACCACATCGAAATCGGTCCATCCGTTTGAGAGCTACGATGCCACAGGCAGACAGACACAAACACACACAGACAGACATCGACGTCCAACTTATAACACTCCTCTTTTTGCGTCGGGGGTTAAAAACGTTCTTAAGAACCAATCCGAGCAAATCGAGAGTGGGAGGATAAATAATAAAGGATTACTTTTTGTTTTTATCTAAGGAGTCCAGAGAGTCTGTCTGACGAGAAAGAGTACGACATCTTTCCAATTATCGATCAATTGTGATGAATCTCTTCTAATGAATATATTATAGGATATACAATTTAGTAAATATATATAGAATAAGACTACCAAATTAAGAACTTAATGTCAGTTAAGCAAGTATATAATATTATGTATGTAAGTTTGATACTCCAAATAATAATCTACCTGGGTATCACATACGTAAGCACATACATACATATACACATATATGTGCACACATACACACTCTCGTATTTATATTAGCAATGTGATTTATAAAATGAAGTAAAAGGCACAAAACACAGTAGGTACTGTACAGGAACATTAATTACGGTCGCATAGATTAATAGGATTCTGTTGCATTTTCTTTATTTTCATCATTTATTCTAATTAACTTTTTTCCAACTAATATCCCACAGAAACGACTAGATTCAACGGCAAGTAAAAATAGCAATAAGTGCCAAATACATACGTAATGAAATCGTATTTCTATGCAAAATGTCACGTCGATATGTTCCTCCATGTGTATTAAGCCCTTTTTAACGTCCCACTGCTGGGCACGGGCCTCCCTTCAGTACGAGGGGAATCAGGCCATAGTCCACCACGCTGGCCAAGTGCGGGTTGGTGGACTTTACATGTCTTTTGAAAATTTGATAGGTTTTCTCAGACATGCAGGTTTCCTCACGATGTTTTCCTTCACCGTTAACACATGTGGTAATCATGTTGGAAATGATTCGCACATGAAAATGTCAGAGGCGCGAGACCCGGGATTTGAACTCGCTTCACTCGGTTTCCCAAGCGAGCGCGCTACCGCTGGGCTACCACTGCCTTATTCCTCCATTATTGCGTGAAAATATTAAATTGACAAACACTTTCCGATAAAACAATATCAGTAAAAACAGATTATTATTTTTATTTCTAACATCTAAAACAAGACAAGTTAATTGGTACTTACTCTAAATCCATACATAGTGTTAATATATTCGCACTGCTCATTCAGAAAAAGGTAGCATCTACTTAACCACAACACAATATCATGTTCGTTAAAATTTATGGATTTTATTTTATTCAGCTTCAAATTGTCATTTTTAGAAGAAATCCAAATGTTTGATACATCAGCATCACAATAATATCCTTCAAGCAAATCTCCAATAGTCTTGACCCGATATTTTACTTGAATGAAATTGGATATTAAATCTATATCAACGAGCAGTCTAAGTCCGAGATAAACATAATCAATTGAAAAAATCACGGAAAAAGTCCATCCAAAGGTCATGGCATATGAGATATAATCAATGGCAACATTTATGGAGATAACTATAGAAAAACAGATGCAAATGTTCCTAACATTCTTTGCAATAACCGCATAATGAGATATACCCAAGATTTGGTCAATAATTTTGTATACAGAAAAATAATGTACTCGAAGTCGTCTGTATTTATAAACGAGAAATATATCTATGATATATTGGAAGTAACCGAGCAAGAAACCCATTTGGAAATAATCTTCAAAATCAAAATTTAAGGACTTAGCACTTAAAAGTTTGTCGTAGGCTGCATAAATATTGATTAAAAAGAAAACAGTCACCAAAATTAATATTTTCCTTATAGATTTTGATAGTTTCAAGTTTTTTCCATCTCTATATATGCATGACAAACCAAATAAATTTAGAACATAATTAAAAGTTGAAAGTGCTGAAAAAGCGTCAGTTTTTTGACCACTACTAATGTTAGAGACCTTCATATTGTTTATGAAAAGAGAATAGCTCGCATCAACGAAGTGTGCAAGTTATCAGTGTATACCATCTATTAATTAGAAATAAGTATTACAATATGTGGAATTGTTTTTATTTCGATATGTAATGATAAATGAAAATAATATAGCGTGTCTTATGTTCAGTGTTGGCTTTTATGTTTTACGTTAATTAATTTTTATTACCCGGTTGCGGTGAAATTTAAAAGGGTTATGTATTTAACCTGTATGTATGTCCGATCATGTTTCCTCATAATTACAAATTAGCTTAATCGAATTTAATAATTCATACATCGTTAGATTCGTCTTGATAACGCGAGTGTTATTATGAATATTATCAAAAATAAAATGGTGGATCTTAGGTATCAAGTATCATTAAAAACACGTTTGTTCTTCCAAGCCTATTGAGTGGTTTAGTAAAATGAAGGTTTTTTATAGGTGATCACAAAAATACATACAACTTATAATATGCTTAAAAATAATTTCGTATCTGTTTAAGAAAATTCTATACATATAACTGGCTAAAACTAAAAAACCGTAAATAAAACAAAATCAAATTAAAAAACCCGACTGCTTAAAAAAAATAAAAAGATGATGGGAACAAGATGACAAAAGGAACATAATATCATGCAGTGAAGAGTTAGAATTTGGCACAAATAATTTTACGGGGAATTAACTTTAAATTCATTTTCATCTATACGTGACTAACATTTTTGCATAATAAAATTCTTAGCAGAGAATCGAATCTTTATATTTAAACCAGCCTTTTTAGTTCAAAGGCAAAGCCCGAAAGACCTATTAAAAATTGCCCACAAAACTCAATATTTGTTGAATAAATAGCTAAACATTTTATTCCATTCTGCCACAATTAAAAAAAATGTCCATTCGATTAATAATAAACGAGTAATATTATCATTTAATGAATTAAACATATTAATTAATGAAACAATATTTTATTTTGATGTAATGAAAAGTAAACATCCTGAAACAAAAACATTACAATATTGCCTATAGCTTTAGTTAATTTACCTCGATCGCTAGTGAACAGTGTTAATGGTAGCGGCATTATCGCTTATATCGCTACAATACACGCATGATATTTTATTCAATTCATACTGGAATAGTTAAATTAAATTCTTTGAATTTACTCAAATAATTGACATAAAATTGTGTTTTGTTTTAAAAAATATTTAATTAAATCCTATTTGGTCTAACATAGTGGCAGAAGATTCATAAACTATTAAGTAAAATTTTGCATGTTCTAATTTTTTAATTTTTTTTCAATTATGTTAGCGATTGCCCGCGGCTCTGTTTTGCGTAGTTTGTTTATATATTATCGATCGTCTTTAAAATGCAGAATGTTGTTATATAGCCTATAACGTTATCCAATAAATAGTCTACGAAATGCAAAATAACTACTTTAAATCCATGCAAAATTTCTAGAAATTAGCAAGTTCAAATAAACGGAAAGTGAACAGTGTGCCTCAGAGAACACGTAAAGCCACCAGTACTGTCTCAGATCACTGATCGTATCAAATTGTGGACCCATCGCATTTTGAGAGTATAAGGAATAAAGAGTGTATTTGTATCTGCGAGCACTTTGTGCCCTATTATATTTCCTGCGCAGTTCATTGAGATTGGTCGCCATGGCTGATATTGGTCAAAAGGACATTATAATTAGTTAAGTTTTATATATATTCCATTTTTAACTTAATACCTATAAAGTAATTAATAGTATTGCAAGATAGTAATGTTAACAATATCCTGAGTGAGTTGCACCGCATTGTTGGATGTGATCATTAAAATTGCATTAGAGACCTGCTTTATAGGGCGCGAGGCCATAAGCCTTACTTTATACTCTGATATTATATATTTTATGAAAGAGAAAAGCAAAAACCGTAAAAACTTTAATAACTAAGATCATTGTCACTTAATGCAGCAAAATGATGCTACTCTTTGTATAGAACGATTAATTATTAAATACTGTTCCACGTTAGAAGGATGAATAGGATGTCTGTTATAGTTTTTACTCGGGCTTAAACAAAGTGAACTGAATTGGATGCCGATGTGTTTTATACATTGTTAAAGTTGCAATTTGTGGAGTCAAATATAAAACTAAGAGCATCTTTTCCAAATAAGAATTTTCACTTCAAATAATAACTTCATAATAGCCATAAAACCTATTTTGGTGTACATAAAAAATGATACCCACGACGCGAACTTCAGTCATTAAATTACCGACCTCGATAAAACCACTTCGCGTAATACCAATTTAATACATGTTATGAAACAACTTTATATGAAATTACCTCATGACATCAGTCATCGTTCAGAATAGCGAAAAGTCAGCACAATGAAAGTTTTGGTAGCAAAAAAAACTCCCAAACTAGATGTGCTTTCCACATTTGGGCTATTGAGTACGGTTTTAAAAATATTTGGTCTATCTTGCATTACTCGTGATGGTTCTACTTTGAAATGGTCAATGCCAATTTGGAAAATATCCTTTATAATAGTTATTGTTTCTGCAGTCAATATCACAATTATTTACTTCGAAATTAATCATTTTAATGGAAACCTTGCAAAAGTTACATTTAAAAATACTTTACAGTTGGTTTATGTAATCATATATCAGCAATACATCGTAGATGTTTGCTTAGTCTATAAATTTGGGAGACAACGATGTGTGAATTATTTGAAACTGTACGAATATATTGATCAGATTCTTGGTGTCAGTTACTATAAAAACATTCGGAATTCTATTGGGAAATTCTGTTTGTTCTTCGTCTTTATTTGGATCATCGAGTTCCTGGTAGATAACGTTGTGTGGATCATTAGCTATGGCATTATAATGCCTATAGCATTTCTCGTGGACTATTTCTACGTTGGAATAAAAATGCTCAGCATCACTGATATGATATCAAACTATATCCAAATGTGGTACCGCTTAAAGGCTATTGCAGATTTGTTAGAAGATTATTATTTCCATTGCGAAAATAGACCTGGTGTGAAGAATATCTTAAATTATAGAGAATTCAAACAGAGACATTTGAATTGTTTTAAAATGATAAGATTCAGCCGAATCAATGCTGTAATGGATTTGACTAGATGTTACTTACTTTTGGTTGAGCAGTGCGAGTATTTAAATGTCACCTATGGCATTAGAGTAAGACAAATTTCTACATTTTATTCAATATCACTACTATTTAAGATGAATATTATATGACGTTTTGATATGTCTATTACTTTTTAACTAAAAAGACTCGCTGACTTTACAACCACATTATATTTATCATTTTTTAGAAGGAAATTTCTTTTAAAATTTATATGAGTCTCTCCTGATGTACAACTTTGGTATCTTCATTAGAAAATATATATAGTTGGAAATCTTTTTAATGTCCATGTAACTTTGTCTTTAAAATTGGTCAAAAAGTCCGCATGAGAAGGGATAAAATGGAATGAGAATGAAGGGATGAATTCATTATCTCCATATTATATTACATTTTACATACCACATCAAATTGTATAATATGATTTACAATAAATAATTGATTGCAGATTATTGTGAACAACATGTTCTTTATACTTGACATGGTGATGATGTTGAATTTGATAATAAGACTGCTTATGGGAACTGTGGTATGATCTTCCTTCTATATTATCATGTTGTATATTATAAATTATCTTACTACACGTACTTAGTTATGTCACTTTTCAGTTTTGTAATTTTACATCAACTCTGAAATATAAAAAATATATAGAAATTGTAAAGGCAATAGTTTAAAGCTTTTATTCCCAAACTATAATTAGTTCTATCTTTAAAAAGCTTTTTACTAATAAGTGGTAAAGGCAAAATTTCCAAATACTATCAGTATTTGATGGCCATTATATTTCAGGTGCCATCGAATGAATCAAAAATGTTTCCTATGATATCAACTGTTTTACGCATCATTAGTAGCTCTTTGATTCTCATATTTGGTATCTATCGCTGCGAACAGAGCTATAGACAAAATGAGAGAATTAAACGATTAATTGACCATTTGGTACTAATGAAGATAATACGTAAGTAAAAGATTACTTTAAAGGTACTTAAAACTTTTGACTTTCAAACACTACTAGGGGAAGTTTATACATAATATTATGTAATATAGTATCTATTCGAATAAGATTAAATTAATTTTCAACCTCAGCCCTATGCTTCTTTATTATTAACGTTTCATTAACAGTTTTTTGCTGATATTACCTAAATAAAAAACACTTTTTTTAAGTTATAATTTGCTTAAATAATATGGTCTATTTTTCCCAAGCAAACGAAAATATTATTGGTTGGACATTTGGTTCTAATTTATTTACATTATATTTGTTGCAGCATATGAAGTGCGTGAAACTTTGATGGAATTAAAACAGTTGATTATTACAAGACCAGTTAAATATCATGCTATGAACTTCTACCAATTGGAATACGCCACCGTAGTATCTATATCTTCAGTTATTGTTACATACACTATAATACTGTTACAAAATATTCAATGAAGTGTTTTTACCGAAAATAATAGTAAAATATCATATTAATCTGAATACTCTATCGCTTGTAGCCCTAGTTTGAACACCCTATATCCTCTTCTTCTAAGTCGTTTCAGTCTTGACAAACTGATCGTGGTCCCCATTTTTATGTTGTGACCAGCTCGACATTACGACTTCTCTCTTCTCCAGTTGCCTCTCTCGCACATTCACAGCGAACGTTTACAACCACTCTAACTTGTTCCGTCCGCTCATGGGCGGTTTACCACCCGACCTAGTGCTGTTTACTCTTCCTTGTACCACTAAGCGTTCGATGGCTATGTAATTGCTTCTAGACATGCGACCAAAGTAGGTGAGGGTTCGAACCTGAACAATGGAAAAAGACGATACTTGGTGCTGATTTCTCTGAGGACGAATGCGATTCAGGTTATTCCTAGGAATACCCCAGTTGTACTCAAACTACTTCAACACCATATATCTCCTCTTTTCATCACCCTCTCGAAGGGCCCAAATTTTCGAAGCGTAGGGAAAGCACAAGTGTTCTAGTAAGCCGGCTTAGTGGCTTCGGATTGGCACTTTTTGTAATGTTATTCGTAAACTATATGCGTGTGTTTTATTTGTTTGTAATTTCTCCGCTCGTAAAAATCATAGCGTGATGTTAGGAAATCTGTAATTTTCCGTCATAAAACAATACTATTACTCGTAAATGTGAAAGTAACTATTATCTGTTACCTTTTCACGCATAAACTACTGAACAGATTCAGATAAAATTTGACAAGGATATAAATTTACTCCTGTGAAAAAATGTGCAACGCCAGTGATTAGCACTTTAAAACAAAAAAAGAATTTTTTTTCAGCTAAATATTATAATGATTAGCATAGATATAAGTAACTATAAAATAGTAAAAGTTTTCAGTAATGTAAATTTTCAATCAACTTATCTATGAACAAAAATTAAATATGTGAGTTAAAAAAATGCTTGAAAATAGTTTCAATTGATTTATATAAAAAATATGAACACAAGAAAAGAAAATACTAAAAGGTCTTAAGATTAGCATAGTTTTAAATGCACTAACTACTAATCTCACTTAAGCTGGGCTAATTAAGTTGTGGAACATTTTGTCATTGCGTATGTTTTTATTTTTGCAGAATTGTTAAACTTGCTTACGTTTTATAAGTAATTTTAATAAAAATGGGAAAGCAATCATTTTGAAGACTTAAAACGGTCTTTGATTTAACCCGAATTGTTTAACTTTAAACGTTAACGTTGAAAATCCCTCTCATATAATCCCCATTATCATAGAATATCGTGTGTAACTTGCACACAAGTATTGAAATTTTATATTGCAGTAGAGTTTATCTAAAGACTTAATATCGCCTTTCATTTAACCTGTATTGGTTAACTTTTATATTTCACTAGCGACTAACCTTTTTTTTATTTATTAAAAACAACAACAACATAACACACAAATACATTTTAAATTTATTCTTAATACACAAGTTCTAGTATGTTAGTGTCTTACAAGTTACAGTTACACTGACCAACAAATTACATATATGCACTTCTAATATAAAAAAAAGATAAAGTGACTACAAAGTAAGGGTAAAAAATTGTAAAACATTAAAATTTATAAATAGGGTTTAAGTTATCTTAACTATATATATATATATATATATATATATATATATATATATATATTTGATTGAGAGGGCGTTACTGTAGAGTGAGGTCTCTAGAAATGTCAAATGGTACTGAATGTTTACTGTTTGCGAGCTTTTTATCGCGGATTTTTACTAATATTTATAATTATTATTATATATATATATATATATATATATATATATATATATATATATATATATATATACAAAGTACAAAACAAAGCAAGTAGAAACCTTTCAATCGTATCCCATTTGAGGGAATACCCACATACACAAGTAATGCAAACTCCATATATTTAATAGGTACGCCTCACTTTATTCCCCTATAAGATAAAAAAGCTTTTTATTTATCAATCAAAGCCTTTTATAGCTTGGTATATGTAAGTTACTGGGAAAATAAAGAAGCAAAGTGGAAAGTTAAGTGAATTTCACGAATATATGTATGTAGATATTAAGTTGGTTAAAGATGTTTTACCCGACTGCGGTGAAGCCCAAAGTAGGGTTATGTGTTTGACCTGTATATATTTAAGCAAAAAAAAAAATGAAAACAGTTTTTTTATAGATATAATATATATTCGTAATATTATGTTTTCCTCAATTTTCCAATAATGATACTTTCATAGATTTACGCGAATATTTGAAATTTTAAATAAAATCTTTTCGGATTATTTCGCGGATTTATTTTGGTTTTTAGTTCCCGACGTTTCGAATGCTTTGATTGCTGATCATGGTCACGGGAGAGACTAAGGTTATAGACGTCTCAAACACATATACTTGTTAGAGACAGTGCCTACCCACTATTTTACAGAAATGATTTCAATAATTCAAAAATGGCTATAAAGTACCTTACAATATTTGTTGATTTTTATTTCTAAACTTTTTTTTAATAAATATTATAATTAAATATAGCAATATTATTTATTTAATTTTAGCTGTAATTATTATAAATATTATTTTTTTTCAATAATGATTAAGTATCGAAATATACATACATACATATATAGGGGTTACAATTCGATTTATTACGTATATTATATATAATTAGTGATGGGAGATTTCGACTTCTCCCATCACTAATTTTAATAAAGAGTTGTGATATAAACATCCTTCTCATATCCATTATCGTTGAATATCGTGTGCATGTTAAGTATTAAAATTTAATATTGGAGTGAAGCGCGCCTAAAAGTAATATATATTGCAAGGCTTCAATAAATCCCGTCCTGCGGTTTGTATAAAACACGAACATCGCGACATTGTCGTTATTATTGTATCCATATTATATGTACAATAGATACTTATATTTTAATATTTTATAATAAACGTAGTGATAATCTGACGTATTAGCAACTAGCATTACCCGCGGCTCCGCCCGCGTTCAGAGTTTTTACATATTATTATACTCTTACAACGCAGTTTTGTCTTTTTTCTCAGAAATGAGATATTTTCCCGCGGTACAAATTATACTATATGTTGACGCGGACAACCAGCTATCACCATACCAAATTTCATCAAAATCCCTCCAGTGGTTTTTCTGTGATGCGATAACAGACAGACAGACAAAAATTCTAAAAACTATAGATTCGGCCTCTGTATCGATAATAATGTTTATTTCAATAAGATTTTCAAAAAGTATTTTATTATACGAGTATGTATAGATAATATCGATTTTTAGACTCCGACACAAAAAGAGGAGAGTTATAAGTTCAACGCGTGTATCTGTCTGTCTGTTTATCAGTCTGTGGCATCATAGCACCGATGAAGCGATTTTAATTTAGTTTTTTTTTATTAGTAAGACGATTTGGTCGAGTGTTCTTAGCTATAAATCAAGAAAATCCGTCCAGATGTTTGCAACTTGTTTCTAGACTGTAAAAGGAGATGAACAGCTTTCACAGGTCTAATCGATTCGAGACTTAGTCCTGTTATTTTAATGACATTCTAATTTCCAATGATATGGTAACCTAGGCCTGATGCTGAACCATCACCTGGAATTTATTTATTTATTTATTTGGAAGACAAACAGTATTTAGTTACATATAAACAAAAAGAATAAAAACTTTACATATACCAATTAAGTGTTCACAGTTTACAAATTCTTAAGGTTATAATCAATGCAGCATGTTAGCTTATTAAAAAAAATTAAAGTAGGTATATAATAAAAACAGGGAAACGATCACGAACAGACACTTCTAGTTAATCTGCAAGATACTGAACTCTTTAGTAAAATATGCAGAGATATCGTGTTTAGGCTCATGGTCTCAATTAATAAGTTATTAACCGACTTAAAAAAAGGAGGAGGTTCTCAATTCGTCGGAATCTTTTTTTTCTTTTTTTTATGTATGTTGTCGAAGTCGGCGCCAGCCTACAATATTTTAAGATATGAATATCTAATAGGTAAATATTATGTATTTTACTTATCGAAATATATTAGATTTGCTTTGCATCGGCTGGCACCGACTTCGAAAATATCTCATTAAGTATCTATTCGAAATGAAAACCCCCGTTTTGTTTTTTTTTTACATTTTAGTGTTAAAAAGTTAAAAAGTTTTTATTGTGTTGGTTTTTTTTTCTATTTTTTAGTTTTAATTTTTATTGCCGTAACTCGCTAATAAAATATACTTTATGAATAACAGTTTCAGTTCTAGTTAAGAACCTAAGAATTCAGTTATTTATTATTTCTTAATCATAATTAAACTAGTATATGCCCGCGGCTCCGCTTATGTGCTGTCGGACTAATTTTATAAATGCGAAAGTTTTTATGTGTGTATGTTTTTAATGTTATTTATTATATATTTATACTTTATGTACCTATTAGTAAATTTCATTTTTTTCTGTATACAATATCTATTTAGATAAGAACTGTTCATCTTTCAGACACTCCCTCATAGAGATCGCTATTTTTGCGATAACGCCGACTGTTGTTCATTTTCCAACTATTTGGTATATTTTCCATCCTTTTTAGGTGTACAATGAAGAGTTTTTAGTGGTAGTCCAGTGGTAATGCGCTCGCTTGGGAAACCGAGTGAAGCGGGTTCAAATCCCGGGTCTCGCACCTCTGATATTTTCATGTGCGAACCATTTCCAACATGATTACCACTTGTCTTTCGATGAAGGAAAACATTGTGGTGCATGTCTTAGAGCACCTAGCGAGTTTTCGAAAGACGTTTTCGGACATGTGATGTCCGATCGCACTTAGCCAGCGCGGTGGACTATGGCCTGATCTCCCTTGTATTTGGAGGCCCGTGCCCAGCAGTGGGACGTTAAAAAGGGTTAAATACAAAGAGTTTTTATTATTACTACCCAATCGCCTATAGGTTAATCTATATAATAGATATATGGACATATTTCTGAGTTTTACTAAAATCCGTTAAGATTATTTTTTTATAGAAAAAAGGGGCAAACGAGCAAACGATCCACCTGATGGTAAGTGGCTATCGCCGCTCATAGGCATCTGCAACATAAGAGGAGTTTCAGTTTTAAAATTCTGAAGAAGAAACAAAGTGACTTCTTCTTCAGTCAATCAAAACCCGCATTTTTAATATTTGTGTGATGACGTACACTTGTACCTACAGATGTATGAACCAGACAAAATACAATTTTTATTTAAAAGACTTATTTCAGATATTTAGGGGTCCTTGAATGTCTGCTACATTATGTATAAAAAAATAACATAAATGAATACTATATTCAATAAAATTCAAATAAATATCATATTTTTAGAACAGACTCGTCTTACAAAACTACACCCGAATTGAGAACCTCCTCCTTATTGAAGAAGTCGGTTGATAATTAGCTTTGTTGTCGCTCAAAAATCGACATTAAGTGGGACCTTACACTAAAATGCAAACTTAATTTGAATTGAAAATTAAAAACTGATGTGCGTATCATGAAATGACGTACAAAAAAACTCTCAGTATTATTTAAAAACCATCACTTTCCTAATCAATCAACAGAACGGCCACACTAAAAATAAAATAGAAATCTAACTGCTTTTCAAGCGGGCTTTGTTTTGCAAAACGTCAAAATAAATATCGCATTTCGTTTGTTCGAAAAAACTATTAGAGTGCAACAATTTGTAATCCTATTCCTGAATGGATAAAAAATATATATTTACAAAAAAACTTGTTTCTAAAATTGCATAAAAAAACCGCGAAAACGTACCTGTGCGTATAGATGGGTCTTAGATTAAACTATTAAAGACAAAGCCTGCTGACTATAGTGATTGAATCTTCAAATCTATACATCTAGGTATACATATCTATACATACGAGTATAGTAAAATAATTGTAACTAAACCGAATTTGTACATTAAATATTTTTTGGAAAATCTTATTGAAATAGACATTATTATCGATACAGAGACCGAATTATAGTTTTTAGAATTTTTGTCTGTCTGTTACTGCATCACAGAAAAACCACTAGAAGGATTTTGATGAAATTTGGTATGGTGATAGCTCGTTATCCAGGTCAACATATAGGATACTTTTTGCCACGGGAAAATGTCTCATTTCTGAGAAAAAATACAAAAACTGCATGTAAGAGTATACTAATATGTAAAACCTAAGAATTTGGTTTTCGGTCACCTGAACGCGGGCGGAGCCGCGGGCAATGCTAGTCTACAGTAAAATTCTAATTGAGTCGAATCTGTACTGTACATTAAATATCTTTTGAAAAATCTTATTGAAATAATCATTATTATCGATACAGAGGCCGAATCTATAATTATTAGAATTTTTGTCTGTCTGTGATCGCATCACGAGAAAACCTGCGTACATAATATATGTGCTTATGAGCGACTGGCCAGAAAAACCAGTACTAACCACTAAAACACAATTTTTGGTTCCCGACGTTTCGAATGCTTTACAGCAATCATGGCCACGGGAAAGACTAAGGTTTAGATGTCTCAAAGGAGTTGTATACTTGTTACAGATAGTGCCTACTCACAATTTTACGAAATGATTTCAAAAATTCAAAACTGGCCCCAAAGTACCGTAGAATAATTGTTGATTTTAATTCTAAGCATTTTATTTAGTATTATAATTAAACATAGCAATATTATTTATTTAATTCTAGCTGTTATTATTATATTATACATTAAAAAAATATTAATTAATAATATTATTTAGTGTTGCTATTATTATGTATTTATAACAATAAATATTAATTATTTATTTAAGCAATATTATTGTTTAATACATAATTTAAAAAGAGTTAAAATATTAATTTAGATTGATATTTAGTATTTAAAGTTAAAATATTAAGCAACAAGCTACCTTTATAGATAAAAAATATTAATATGAATTACTCTTATTGCGATCCACACACTATGAACATCAGCTAATGGTTTGTTTCGTTCATTTTTGTTGTTAGATTTTATTGTTTGTTAAAAACCTGTGTGCTATTATACAGAATTTTACTTGGCCTACCTGTACTTCTGAAATATTCTCGTAATAATATATTGGAAGTTGGTCTAAAGGAAACAATGGTCATAGGATTATAAGGTCTAAATCAATAATAAAAAAAAAACTTTTCATAATGCATTCGCATCTTTAATTTATTTATTTAATATACATTAAATTTTAAAGGTAAAAAAAATCTGACACTTAACAAAAAAAAATATCTATTACAAAGAGAAGCCACAGATTATACAATTCATAAACCATAGACACAGAATCCTTTATTACCAGTGAAATAATTTGCTTATTACAATACAAATCTATATTAAAAAAAAAACATATTAAAAATGATGAATTTAATACCAACTATCCAAAACAAACTTATATTCTGAAATCCTGTTATTTCAAAATAAAAAAAAATATCTCGTAGTTCTGCGAACAGTAGACCTCGCGAGAGTAGACTATTTTGCAACAATATAATATCTGAGCTATTTACTGCATTTTAAGGAGCCATTCTGCTCATCACGATTAAGATCCTCATCAGACCATCACCAAATGTTTATGAGACCAACTTAAATAAACGCTTCAAATAAAAAATGAATCATCGAAATAGAATCTTATAAGACGGAGATACCCAAAAGCCTCCTTTTTGGAGACAGTAGCTTCCGATCAAAAATCTCCGATGACAAAAAAATAGAAAGTCATAAAACCCAGTGGCGAAAGGTGAAATTTAAGCAGAGGTAAGCCGTTAATTATCGATATTTCAGTTCGTAAAAGGAAAAATTTGAAAAAATAAATATTCTTGAGCCTGTAACTTTGTTGTTATTGCTGATATGAAAAAGTTGACAAAGACTTTTTTATAGGATTTTAAACGTACTACAAATTTTCCATTTAACATTTTTCTATAACTCTTACAGTTTAGCTAAAAAATCCAAAAAACCGTAAATTTGATCTTCAAAGCTCAAATCAAATATTGAAGGAAGAAATTCGACTCAATGGAACTTTTTGTAGTAAATTTAATACTAAAAAAGGGTCCATTCATTCATTTTTTTGAAAAATATTTTCGTCACAGTTTGCAGGACAAAAAAGTATTAAAAACCATGTTTTGAGCTCTGCTTTTAACAAGAGCTTTGTCGGGACATTTTCTGAGATATTTTGGGGTAAGAGCGAAGAAAGAAAAATGTCGTCGTTCTTTGGCTTTATATATATATATATATATATATATATATATATATATATATATATATATATATATATAACCTTAAAAGATAAATTCATCATTTTCACCTGCGAACTATGCTGCTATTTACAGAAGCATATACAAAGAGGTGTTGCATGAAACAATAATAAAACTCTAAATTTGGACAATTTTAATCAAAACATTGTAAAATATGTCTTTTTTTTTTTCATTTAAAACGAAAATATTAACGTGTATTCACAATTTCAGCTCAATCTGTTGAGGATAACTGCTTTAAAATTCAGTTGCAAGATTTGATTCGAACTAACACGGCAAGAATTCCTTATCCGAAGGGTACCAACGGAACCCTATTACTAAGGCTCCGCTATCCGTCTGTCAGAGGGCTGTATCTTATGAGCCGTACTAGGTGGAGTTAAAATTTTCACAGAGTATGTATTTCTATTGCCGCTATAACAACCAATAATAAATACAAAAAAAAAATAGAAGAAACATTTTTTAACGTAGGGTAAAAGTCGTATTAATAAAAAGTACATGGACGATGGTATACCCTTCGTATGCGAATTCAACTCGCACTTAACCGATTTTTTGTTATAAAAAATATTTCTAAGAAAAATGGGAAAACAGCATTTCCTCTTTATATATAGCTTCAAGATAATTTCTAATGAATAGTGTTTATTGTAAGTCTAAAACCGTAGGAAAACAAATCCATTGCAATAATAAACCACTTTTGACATTTACCAAAGTTTTTTATAGTGATATGATTTGATAATATATAATCAATTAAACATCAATCAATCGATGAAAATATTAATGAATCGATATTTAAAAGAAATAAAATTAGTTTAAATTAAATCCGTCTAGTAATCTATACTTAATATTATAAATATCAAAGTCTGTTTCTTTGTTTGTTCTTCTTTCACGTCAAAGTGACGTATTGGCGTGATTTTTGTGTGGGGATAGTTGTAGAGCTGAGAGAATGACATAGGCTACTTTTTTACTGCGTTATAATACAACGTACAACAACTCATCATACATATGTATGTATGTTTAATATATTATAGTCTATCGTAACGTACCCGATCGAAGCGACAGTGAGTCGCTAGTTTTTAAATAAAAAAGAGCGTAATATTACAAAGATAAATAATCAACGCTGAACTTTCGCTCCATTACAATTTAATTGCAAATATAAATCGACATTAAAAAACAAAAATTTTGAACGTCCACACAATGTGATATGAAATTTTGGCAAACGTCAAAAGTGGTTTTAATATATATCTAATGTAAGCTCTATAACTATACATTTAGAGTTCATATTTATTAGTTAAATCCGTCAATTCACTGTCGCTTAGGTTCTCCTCTGCTTTGCAATGCGCCAACAGGTTGTTTAGTACTGAAAAATAAAAAAAATAAGAAAATTATTATTACATGTTTGTACACACTAATAATTTAATTAACTCGATATTGAAATTAATCTATACATATAATGAAATTCTGAGTCGAATCTGTACATTAAATATTTTTTGGAAAAACTTATTGAAATAGTCATAATAATAAGATACAGAGGCCGAATCTATAGTTTTTTCATCACTCGACAGATTTTGATGGTGTGATGTCAGCTAGGTGTTCGGGTCAACATATAGGATACTTTTTACTGCGAGAAAATATCTCATTTCTGAGAAATCAATAATATATAATAACCGTTAAAATATACACCAGTGTCACTAGTAGATACATAAATATCATACAAACAGACAAACATACACATTATATGGCCCGGTTATTGTTGTCTAACGTGAGATAAATCCATCCTCAATTTTGATAAGAAATTAAGAGTGTGTTATCACTGTGACCTTTTGTTTTCCCTATTTGACTTTATAAAAAAAACAAAGTTAGCAATAACTGTTATTTACAATCTAACTATCTATACTGTTGGAAACTAAAAATCAAAATAAATCCGCGAAAAAATCCGAAAAGATAGTTTTATTTAGAATTATTGTAATTTATAATTTTAGTACAAGGTCTTTTCAAACTTGCCAATAGAAGTATAACTTTAAAAAGACAACAACAAACAGACACACAAACACAAAAACAAACATAAAACCAACTTACATTTCTTATCATCAGCTGTAAGGAACATAGCGAGCGCCGAGAACCTTTTGACCTTGCATAGAGCCTTGAGGTACGCCGAGACAGTTCTATGGCGAAATTTGTCCTTATTATTGTGCAAAGTTGCTATAACTTCTGATAGGACATCACTCTCTAATGCATTCTCGAAGATCGATGGTAGTTTCATGGGGTTTATTATCTGTGGGGATTATTTATTATTATAATCATGCTTATTAATGGTTTTTTAAGTGTTATATACGATATTAAAAGAAAAAAAAATCTTTCACATTCAAAGTTCGCTGAACAGATTTAGAAGAAATTTGGTATAGATAGTTTGAAACGCTGGGAAGGGCATAGTATATATAGTTTTTATCTTATTACACTTTGAAAATTGGGAAAAAATTGGGAAACAGTGGCTCAGTTAGAAGCCCACAGCCAAGCCAAATTTAAATTCAAAGAAATTAGGTATTTTTCCTTCAAAATATATTATTGAGAGGGAAAAACGCCGTCTAGATCGAATCTCTTAGTTGTATAGGAGCTGTGGTATGAATTTTGAAAATAATTTAAAAAAACTACTTTTTTCAAATTTCAAAAAAATCTTCAGTGGCTGGATTTGATTGTATTGAGAGAAAATTTTCAGGATATTCTCCTTTTCTAACCTACTTTCGAAAAAAAATCAGCGTCTAAATCATAGTAATGGATTTGCCCATATTATTGTACTAGTATAATATAATATATATTTATAATATAAATTATATACTTAAAATATTATATTATATACAATCATATACAAAAAAATTATAATGTTATGAAAACCTAATACTTACACTTATATAATCACTTCTAGCACCTTCATTTCCTTTCAAATATTTCCAATCGGATGTAAACTGTACACTGTTCATTGGTGGTACCATATTTAAGTTATTTGCCACATCTGTTTCGTATGGGATTTCATTGTTATTCTTTGAATCACTGTTAGCATTATTATTAGAATCGTTGTAATTGTTTATTTCTATTATTTTCATCCGTTGTTTTTCTAATAATGTTCTGCCTAACGGAATTTCCTGGATTGTTACATGTTTCAACGCTCTCTGTAACAAAATGATTATTGATGTTATTGAAGTAATTGTGTTATTAGCATTTTATAATAATCAATTATATATACTTCCGTTTAGTTTAGAAATATAGAGAAATTAATTTCATACCAAAAGCCATCAAGGAGTTATGTATGGCATAACTACATCGATCAAAAAAGTATTACACAATCAGCAACAAAAAATGTCCTCACGTTATAGCGACAATAGAAATACATACTACGTGAAATTTTCAACTCTTTACCTATTACGGTTCATGAATAAATAAATATGTTGAGACATTAACACACAACACCATCTAGTTCCATGGTAAGCTACGAGGCTTGTGTTATGGATACCAGATAGTTGATACACTACACATATATAACTTTAAATACATACATATTATAAATATTCCCATGACTAGAGTACAAACATTCGTGTTCATCACACAAATGAATGCACATCGGGACTCGAACCCACAACCGATGACACAGCAAGTAAGGTTACTACAAATTGATCCAAACGTGTCGTTAAATAACCAATTAAGTTTCACTTTTAACACTTGTACTCTCTACACACCACATTTATTTATACTACTAAGAGAACATTACCTTAGACCTCAAATGTGGAGGTTTCTTCACGGGCCTTATTACAGTTATATTTTCATTAACACCATTTTTCCATTTCTCAACGGCACTCAACTCCTTCTTCGGCTCATCTGACATTTCTACTATCTTTAGCTGGGACTTTGGTTTGGATGTGATGGATTTAGACTCTGTGGTTGGCGTTGTCGATGGAGAAGATTTTGATTTGGACTGTAAAAAACAGTATTTGTATTTAAATAAATTAAGTAATGAAATAATATCTCTTAGAACGGCAGTGGTAGCCCAGTGGTAAAGCACTCGCGTGATAGACCGAGTGAAGTGGGTTCGAATCCCGGGTCCCGCACTTCTCATATTTTCATGTGCGAATCATTTCCAACATGATTACTACCTGTCTTACAGTGAAGGAAAACACCCAGAGGAAACCTGCATGTCTGAAAGAATTTAGAAAGAGGACCTTCTTATTTGTCTGTAAAATGTATTTTATAGGTATCTTACAAGATATTTTCGTCGATTTTTGCACGATTTTCATTTATTTTTAATGATAAAGTTATACAAAAGTGATCTATCTCATATTACTTTTCAATAGAAAACTTAAATTATTCAAACTTACTTATTTTTTAAACTTGGTGTACACAATTGTTAAAAAGTAAAGATATATTAAATAGCAACACATAATGAACACGAGCAAAGCCGGAGCAAAACGCTAGTACAACACCATACTCACTCCTTTAGTCCCCATTCTGGTCTTAATGGCTTCCAACTGTCGCCTTGCCGCGGCATTATGGGGTTCTAGCTTCAACACTTCCAACAGATCGTTTGAGGCCGCTCGAAGGGAACCGAGACGTTCTTTTGCAGTTGCTCTCCTTTGCAAAGCCTTCACATAAGTTGGGTCTAAACGTAGTGCTTCTGTACAGTCTGTGTCTGCTTGGTGTAGGCTGAAATTAATTGTCTATATAAATAGAAATGAATATTCGTATGTTTGTCCTATATACGTTCCTAAGCCATTGATCCGATTGTGATGAAAGTCTGGTGGGTTATTGTATATACACCTGCGAAGGGTTCTGGCGCAAAAAAAAACAGTTTTTCAACATAAGAGGAACGCGACCATGATTGTTGTAAAGCATTCGAAACATCGGGACACAAAAATCAATATAAACCGCAAAAATTCGGAAAAGAAAAGTATTATTTAAACTGTTAAATATGCGCGCAAAATTTAAGGAAGTATAACAACTTGTTTGATTGATGGTATAATATAATGTATCTTCTGCATATTTCTCCATATTCCCGATCGGACCTTGCTCTAAGATTTCTATCTATTTCCAAAATTGAAGGAGTCGCCGAGAGGATAGAGATTCATAAATGATGAAGCAGTAGTCGCTGCAGTACGGGAAATTTTAGGGTTTTTTAAGAGAGGAATTTTAAGCTTGGAAAAAAGATATTCGGATTGTATTATGCTAAAAGGCGACTATATCGAAAAAAAAAATAATAAAAATTATCGACAGCATTCTCATACTAACTTATTATGGAACATCCCTCATAATATTCTCTAAATATTTTTATCAGGGTTCGAAACGATAATTATCATGATAATTATCATGATAAATATGGGCTGATAATTATCTTTGATAAATATAATTGAAAATATTTAATTTGTAAATCTTCAAATTGTCGATCAGCTAACTGAACTCTCTCAATCAGCTCAAAAAACTCAATCAGCAAACTGAGTTAATGCTGTTGAGGAGGATCAGGATGATATTCCACTCATTAAGGAGTCTGCCCTCTACACCGTCTCATGCCATGGCCGTGTTATGAACGTATCAGGCAAGAAAATAAGCGACACGGACTACCATGCCCGCTAGAACGTATCATTCGCGTATCAACCGCGTATCATCCGCGTGTCATATCCGTATAGTTCCCGTTTTTTTCGGTCGTAGTAATGCACCTGTGTATTCGCGTGAGGCAGCCGTGTCAGGAAGAGCGAGTGAATATTTCTGTTACAAAAATTATTTATTATAATTTAAAAAAAATATAATTTAAAAGAAAATATTATCACTAGAAGACAAGCGACGACACGTTTATAACGGGCTTAGGACGGTCATCATACGCAGTTATAACCCGTGTGCTCACCGTTTCGCCATCCGCGCGCACCGGTTCGACAACGTCGCGTGCCAAGCACTGAGCGTATCGGCACCGGCAAAATATTCTTGCTGACAATTATTGTTTAACTTTCCATGCACGGCACGCGACGGTGTTGACGGAAAGGTCTTGGTCGGTGACGAAACGGTCTAGTGGGCATAGTCTCAGACTTTTCAATACAAAGAATATTTTTTTGCCTGACACGGTTATGTTATGGTCCTAGCACGGTCATGGTATGAGACGGTATAGTGGGCAGAGACCTTTAATTTAATTAGTCTAGTCTAGTCTAGTCTATATAGTTAGTTAAATTTATTCTGTTTTTATTTCATAGTTTGTATATGTCAAAATAATGAAAAAATAATAATAATAAAAGATTACCTTGATTGTTAAAAGTGTATAATTTATTCTAACATAAATTATGACAGGCAAGTATTCAAATACCAATACCTACATAAGGCTTGCTAAGTTTATATCTGTTTGATAATTATCGGATAACTATCTGATAATTATCTTGATAATTTCATACCCTGATTTTTATTAATTACTACTTCTAGTTTTACTATATATTATATTATGATATATAGCCTAGTATTCCTCAATGAACGGGATATCTAATGCAAAAAGATTTTTTTTTTAATTTAATGTAGTTCCTGAAATTAGCACATTCAAACAAACTGCCTCTTTATAATATCTGTATAGATTATACAACAGCTACATACCTATCCTTCTTGAGATAGCACAATCCTCTATTAGCATAGTATATGGCGTCATCTTTCACCAACTCAATTGCACGGTTGTAGCAGGATATTGCCTCATCCCATTTTTCTTGCTTCACAAAAGTGTTACCCTGCAAAATTAAAATATATCTCTAACATATTATCAGGTTGTAATTTTGTGTAATAATTTATCACTCAATTGAAGGATAACTGCTCTAAAATTGAATTACAAGATTTGACTCGAACAAACACACATACAAACATTGCAAGTTAAATAAAAGCTTGTAAAATACTTTGTACATATATTTTCTGTCAGTAAATAATTTTTTCCTAATAACCATAAACATGTTATTCAAAACCATAAACAAGTCATTCGAGTAATATTCATGTGTTCAATATTTATTTCTTTTAATCACTAATAGATGTAAAATTATATTATATATGATATTAGTTACCTTAAACTGTTCCAATTTCGCAATTACATAAGTCTATATACCTAATTTTTATTTAAAGAAAACTGTTGCTTAAATACAACAAAGACATCTTATGAATATAAATAAGTATGTTGGGACATAAACACACAGCACCATCTAGTTCCATGGTAAGCTACGACGCTTGTGTTATGGATAGCAGATAGTTGATACACTACACATATATAACTTTAAATATGATAACTATAAACACCCAAGACTGAAGTACAAACATTCGGGCTCATCACACAAATAAATACCCCCAGCGGGACTCGAACCCGTGACCGCTGGCACAGCAAGTAAGGTTACTACAAACTAAGCCAAACATGTAGTCAAAATCTTATCCCAGTCTTAACAATCTTTCAATAATGTATGAAGTTGAAATGGCTGAAGATTGTTGTGAAGTATATATTGATACTCCATCCTCGCTAACATGAAAGAAAAAAAAATTAAAGTACTTAATAAAATAAAAAATAAAACATTTTTAATAACAGCAAAAATATTTACTTTAAAAAAAATTTACTCATTATTAAAGGGAGATATTACTAAAACCATGAAACAAAAAATAAAACCAAATAAAAACAAAAATATCTGTATATGAAAAAACCTGTCATACATTTGTGCCTCTCCACTCCACAAGAGTGTAATGCGGGCCAAGTTGGTTAGTTTTCAACTTTGAAATACAAAAATTCAAGATACACAATTAGTGTCTCAAAAGTGTCCTCAAAAAGAAGTGCGCAATTTAAAATTGAATGGTTTTATAAACTACTGACCCATCCCTAAATATATTTGTGCAAAAACCATAATTTATTATAATTTTTCTTTATATTCTTCCACTATTATACTATATAACCTAAATTGTATACTGTAAATGGCAAATTTTATCTTGTATTATGTAGTTAAGTAATCAGCTAAACATTGCTTCGTCAAAAAAAATGTGTGTGTGTATATATGTACACATATGAAATTATACTTCTTTGACATAACAGAACAAAAATAGCTAAAGATTTCTACCTGTACCTGTCCTGTCACAACACTCTGTGTGTAAAAGGAATGACAAATTAATAAAATAATGAAATAAGACATATTAGGCATATTGCAATCATATATTTATAGTAGAATATTATTTACCCTGTTAGTGACCGAAATAACGACAATTAATTTTAGGCTTTAACGCCTCCAAGATAATTTCAAAATTAAAAAAATAATAATGAAAGTAATTGGCAGGCAGATGATATATAATATTGTATTCTTTTTGTAATTTGTATTGATGATGTTCTCCTAGCCGATTCCGGCCACGGCGGGCAATCTCATTGAGATTAGCCAACTGCGCAGGAGATATTTTAGTGCACAAGTGTACGCGCAGACACAACGTGCACTCTCTATTCCTGTCACTCTCATACTCCGGTGGGACGACTGCTCGACACGACCGGTGAGAGTAAAGCGCAGGACCGACGGCTTTACGTGCTCTCCGAGGCACGGGGGTGAAACACCACCAACTTCCCAACTCCGGGCTGTTACTGAGACTTACTATACAGAAAGAAATAATAACTAAACTTGGCCCTACCCGAGACTCAAACCCAGGACCTCCGGGTGTGCAGCCGTACATGCTAGCCACTACACTACTGAGGCAGTTAATTAATTTTATATAATATCATCTGTCTGACAATAACAAAGGCTACCATGGCAACAAATAGTTATCAGCTTACTTCATCATGTCGCTTTTTGGCTATCGTTGTGCGCGCGCTTCGTAAAAATTTTACTCTCATAATTTCTTCAAAATGTCCCAAAAGAAGTATAACTTCAAAAATATGTTTGTTAAAATTAAGTATATTGACTACAATTTAAATTACATAAATAGTATTACAAACTTTATAAAATATTAGTTTAAAATATAGATAATAAATATTAAGAGTTAAAAAATATATAGATTCTTTATAAATAATAAATATGAAATATATTGTATATTTTTTCATACCCTTTCTTTTTCATACTGAGCTTCCTCTCGCAATTTCTCCGTTTTCTCTAGTTGACTTTTCTTACTGTCGAGGGACACCGGGCCCAGGTCTGCCATATCTACTTCTTCACATGCTTTGTCCTATAACATTATATTGGTAGAAATCTCATATTATTTATTTATCAACTGTATATATTTATTTTATACTTTAGAAATATAACAATATATTACCATACATAAATATACAAATTTAGTATATCAACTATTACAACATTATTAATAATTATAATATTACAACAAAAGTTTTAGAAAGTAGACAATCACTTTTGTTTTTTTCTTCATAATGACTTAAGAGTTGTGTTAAAGAGACACAATACATTCTGCCAGTGTCATATATTGTAAGAACGACACAAATGAGATCAGTTTTGTTTCATTGTACATCTATTTCTATTTTGTTCATTAATTTCAAACAGTAATCAATATATGAAATCTCTATAGCTACAGGTAGTTTTATTATAGATTACACTTTTATACAACTTATAAACAATCTATACATATAATAAAATTGTCACTAAGCCGAATCTGTACATTAAATACTTTTTGGAAAATCTTATTGAAATAGACATTATTTTCGATACAGAGGCCGAATCTATACTTTTTAGAATTTTTTTCTGTCTGTCTGTCTGTTACCGCATCAGGGAAAAACCACTGGAGGGATTTTGATAAGATTTGGTATGATGGTAGCTGGTTATCCGGGTCAACATATAGGATACCTTTTACCGCAGGAAAATATATCATTTAAGAGAATAAAATACAAAAGTAAGAGTATACTAATATATAAAATTTAGAATAAAATTAATTAACTATTGTAATTTGTAAGATATAAATAGCTTAAATTTTAAAATATATTCATATATCCAATAGAGATCGCCTTTTCATTTACATGTAAAACAACAAACATACCACATCAAATTTTTCCCAAGCACTGTAATCAGATGAAGTTATCCGTTTCTCTTGCTTTTTCTTGACTTGAACAGGTCTTTCTTTCCTCTTGCTCCTCACTGGTGGAAGTTCCTATAGTTTCCAAAAGGTCTCAATATTAATATTCTCTATGTCTTCTACTATCGCCGCCGCGATGTAACACAATAACAAAAGAAAAACACCGATACCGGTATGAAATAACATTAGCGATACAGCTATTAATAAATACATATTGTTAAACGAGTTAAACAACACTAAAATATACCACTGCTGGTTGTTAGTACACTAAGTTGGTAATCTTATTTGGGTTTAAACCTGCTCAAATTCACCGTTAAGCGCGGCCTCTTTACGTTTCATTTCTATTTCCCAGTTCTGTAAGTCAGTTAGATACGTTTGCAAACTCTTCACATTTTCGCGAGCCTGCTTTTGTATCTCAAAAGCTTTGTCCATTTTTATTAGGACGAAAAAAAGATTTCTTTACCTGTTTAATCGATAATAAGCGGTTGTCAACCTCAACTGTTTTCACGTTGTCATGGCGCCGATAAGTTCGGAAATTTTATGAAATTAAATTGAACTTTGCTTTAAATAATTTATAATAACTAATGTAATAAAAAATATTTTATAGCAACAAATATATAACTTTATTTATAATTTTTTATTGTTTAAATTAACTGGAATACTAAATTAGTTTATTGCATCATGTCTAGATGTCGCTAGGTATTCGAATGAAAATGAATAATAGCAAAATAATTAGATTTTAATTTTTAAAACTAAAACCATAGTTTGTTGTCTGGTGATATATTATCAACTATAATAAATAAATGATGATGAATGATATTTTTTTATTAATTATATGGAGTTTCAAACAAAACATTACGCAAAATATTTAAAAGTGAGCCTACATTAATCATTCGTTTAAGCTTTATTTCTGTAATCTAGACTCGCACAATACAACCTACACTAGGATTAACAAATCTATTCTACTTTAATTTTATGGTTATACATAAGGTAGGTACTTACATAAAAGATTTCTAGCTTAATTTTCTGTACATAGATAATTAATTGTCTCATTGTCAGACTAAAACTTCAATCAATAGACCAAGGTAGGTATGCCATGGCATAGTCATGGGGACGGCAAAATGATTTCCAAGGGAAAGGGGGTGCATCTGCATCTTCACATTAAAGTACTAACTAATCTTTATAAGATTAACTTTATAATTTTTTTTTCTTAAACTTTTTTTTATATACTTTGTGAGTAATCTATACTAATACTTATTATAAAGAGGCAAAGTTTGTGAGGTAGTAGGGGGTAATCTGTGTATCTACTAAACCGATTTAGATGAAATTTGGTAAGAAGATAGATTGAGACCCTGGAAAGGACATAGGATACCTACTTTTTATACCGGAAATCACCCGATAAGGGAGTGAAAATAGGGATGAAAGTTTGTATGGGGAATCAACCCAGGGACGAACCCAAGCGAAGCGAGGGTGAGTCGCTAACATTTTAAAATTTTCGCGAGTATCTAAATTTAAACGGGTTAATTCACTGATATAATTTTATTTCTTTACCTAACTATATATTTTCCTTCATGGCAAGGGGGTGCATCATGCATGTGCACACCCATGTTGCACGGCTGATAGAGAAAAGTAGGACAAGGAGAAAAGAAGAGAAGAGAAAAGTCTGTCAGTCAGTCAGTGTTAGAGTTTTATTCAGTAGATAAATAGACTTGAGCGGCTTCAAAATCTTTGTATTCGGTTTATATTTGGCCTTCGTAAATTCATGTTTCAGAATTTCGCAAAAAGGTCAAGTGGCTCCCAATCCGCCTTTACAAGAATACTCATGTACTTCATCTTCTCTACTGCGTGCTGTTCTACCCTTCTTCTCCTTTCTACCTTAGAGAGCGTTTCCAGTTTTTGAGTGATACCCATACTCTTTCACTTCGGTCTAGTGAAACGTTATTGCTTAAAATTCTTTCTCACTCCTCCTGTTTCCTTACCAACTCCTTCGCAATAAAGGCTGCACGCTTATGGAATAATCTTCCAATAGACATCAGGCGTGCCAAAAGTTTTGATAATTTTAAGGTACAGTTAAAATCATATTATTTGTCTCTATAGTGTCTTATATTGGACTTTTTATACTTTTTCATCTAATCTACATTTATAATAATAATAATAATAACCCCCCCAAGGAATCACCTTGTCGTGGTGGGGGGGCTTACGGGTATTAGGTACAGGTACTTATTGTTGTATGTCATAACACCTTAAACATACTTTTTTAACACTTTCTGATGCCACTTCCAACTTGGCTAACCATACCCAAACCAACGATTCCACACACACCCCCTTTTTTATGATATGGACAAAAATGAAAAGAGGTATAATTTACGGCCGCTTCCCGGAGTTCGTCGGGGCGCACCTGGAGCCGACGCTGGGTGTTTCAGCTTACGAGCCGTCGGTGGTGAGGAGCTGAGCAGGCGGGCCCTCATCGGGCTAGATCCCGAAGATAATACAGCCGAATCATCTATAAAGAAATAAAAATAATAATAAATCTTTAATTCAGGTAAAAACCCATAATTACACAAAAAAAAAGATAAAACGAAAACACATACTATTTATCTATTCTAAGAGTTAGTAATACAAAATACTTAACCTATGTTAGCTTAAAAAGAGAAAAGAAAAACAACTAGATTGCCCTACGTGATAAGGCTACACCACAAGCATGAGACCCATTTAGGTCCGCCTCGTGGCTATATGAACCCTATTCCATTGCCCCCAGAGAGGGTTGTCCATCTTGACCGCCAATGTGCCAAGGAGCTGCTCACTAACCTGCTTATCATGGACGCGGTACGCTTGCGTATGATCGCGTAAAAATCGATTTATGTATGTATATATGTATGTATGTATGTATATATGTATGTATGTATGTATGTATGTGTGTGTGTATGTATGTATGTATGTCTGTATTTAGGATATGCAATTGTGGGTAGTAAGTACACCGCCTACCATTTCATATAATTTCTCCTACGCCCTAAGGTTGCCTGGAAGAGATCGCTTATAGCGATAAGGCCTCCTGCTGTGCATCATCTATTGTTTATGTTTATATCTACTTTTTGTATATTTCTTTGTGGTGTACAATAAAGCATCTATATATCTATCTATCTAGATACTGTACATCGGTACATATGTATATGTTCATAGAATAAAATTAAATTCATCGAGAGACCAATAACAATATCCATCCATAACCATGCCTTCACGCGCCCACTCAATCAAAACTAAATTCGTTGATTGAGGTCCTTACCATTGAATAGCGTTGATGAGCTGGTATTTTATTACACTGTAAAATCTAGCTTTTTCGTTTGACTTTGTTTGGATACCCTTTTCTCCTTTGTTTATCAATCGACTTTTCTTTTAGTAGCTGTTGACGAGCTTATGTGTTATCAATAAAAAAGGTTTTTTTATAGCTATATATGTAAATATATACATAGGCGAATTTCATATATGTATGTTTTCTTCGAACATAAGTCTAAATAACTCTTTAAAATTTAAAGTTAAGTAATTTAAAGTCCGTACGGACGGACAGAGTGCATAGACCCTTTAGTTACGGGTCTCTAAAAATACTCTACTATAAAATAATAAACATACAAATGCTTCATAACGAATCCCAAGGATGATAAATTATTTTCATAAACAATAAAATTAATAGCTCTCTATAGAATTTTGATAGGTAATATAGATATAATTTTTATGGTAAGTATTAATAATAATTACATATTGATTTTGGATGCCGACTATTTGGTACAATTCAATGTTAAAATGGACGTTTTAATTAAAATCTAGAAATATAGACATAATCTAGGAATTTAATATAGACATTATATTTTTATTTATACTACCTACTAGTCAAAAATATTCTGTTGTAGTTCGATGTTGAATTAGTTTTGTGGTGAAAATCTCGATTTTTTATAAGTAAAATACATTTTTTTCTATTATTAGTTTATGTTGTAGTATAATGTACTTTGTAGTAAAATAGGTAAAGAAAAAAAAGGTTTTATTTAATCTTTAGCTGGTTTCGATTGTGATATTATAGATACCTACTCGCATCGTGGAAGTACTAGTTGATCACAGAATATCTTTGATAAGTGCCAGTATCTAATCTTATATAAATAAATAAATATATTGGAATATTAACACATAGCACCACCTAATTCCATGGAAAGCTATGAGGCTTATATTATGGATACCAGATAGTTGATACAAATAAGTACCGCGTAGTATTTTTTGTATTCGGCTTGAAATGCTTACTTGCTTCCTTAAAGTTAATATTTTTCTGCTAACGAAAGTTATTCCAAAGTCAAGGCAAAAGAAACTCATCAGCTCTTAAACTAGTTACTTATTTTATTAGACTACATGTGTTTAGTTACTAATTAGGTGTTTACATTATTTGCTTCGAATTTACTTTAAAAATATAATCTCCTTTATTAAACTTTTTAGAATATATTATCTATAACTAGCAGAACCCGCGGCTTCGCTCGCGCTACAACTACAAAAAAAAACTCTAAAATTGTAGGTTTCATACAAACTTTCATCCGCTATTTTACCCCCTTATGGGATGAATTTCGGAAAATGCTAAAACACGTATTTAATTAATTGTATTGAAGAGCATTTGTACTAAGTTTCAAGTACCTAATTCTGATCAAAAATATTTTTTTGAATTGTATTATAACGTGTTTTCCCGTGGGAAAGAGATAATATCCCGCGGTAAAAAGTAGTCGTACTAGTAGTACTTTGTCACTCTCCAGCCCTCCAACTATGTCCACACAAAAAATCACGCGAATCCGCCAAGCCGTTTCGACGTGAAAGAAAGACAAACAAACTAACAATCACACTTGCACATTTATAATATTAGTACGGATTATATCTAACAGAGACTTAAAGATAGATTTAAAAAGCTCACTAATCAAAGTTACACTGCATTTACCTTTGCTTGTTTTTCCACAAACCACATAAGCAAAGCCGCGGACAAGTATAGTTTCTTTAAAAATTGCTTAAATTTACACATAGACGTAGAGAATGGACTGAGCAATACTGTCAAGAAATTGACAAAGAGAGAAATCGAACGTGCGGCCAAATCCTTCTTTTATTCTAATTTGAATTTATAAATGGAATATGAAAAAATATAATTGTAATGCAATGGCTATACATATCTATCTTCATTAATCGTATTTTAATTAATACAGAAGACTTCTGGCCGCACGTTCGTTATGTCTCTATCCCTTTTCCGACATTTTCAGCTGACGGCTGACAAAGAAACACACAGTCCACTCTCTAGTCTATAGATTTACATGAATATTTGACATTAAATAAAACTATCTTTTTTAGAAACAATGATTGCTGTAAAGCATTCGAAATGTCGAGAGCCAAAAATCTAAATAAATATGCAAAAAAAT